GACGACGACAACGACGACGAAGAACGACAGAAGACGACGACGGCGACGACGACGACGACGACGAGGGAGGAGGGAGGACGACGACGACGACGACAACGCAAGAGCGCGCGCACACGCTTTTGTTGAAATTCCGTGTTGCGAAACCTTGGGTTCTTGTAGGTTTTTTGGACGCACCATTTTGAAACCCTTATGAAACCTCTGGTTTTTGAAGGATTTCGGCATACGCCCGCGACGACGCGCGCGTCTGCACTTCGTCTCATCTTTTGCAGAGGATTCTCGCGACGGCACACGCGCAAGGGCGTTCGACAGATTTCGACATGCGCGCGCGAAGCCCGTTTGGTAGCATTTTGTGAAAATCTTGGAAAACCTATGGTTTTCTCAAGATTTCGCAAGACCTCACGCGGAAGTTTTTTTAGCAAATCAGTGTTGCGAAACCATGTGTTTTTGTATGTTTTTCGGAAACTCGATTGCGAAATCCTTCCGGCACCGAAGGTTTTTGAAGGATTTCGGCATGCGCGCGCGACGACTCGCGCGTGTGCACTTCGTCCAATTTTTTGCAAGGGATTCGTCAAAAAATGCTATGTTAGAACAAAAAATGTCACCGCATAGTGTTTTTTACAAGAGAACCGCAGGGGGGGGATACCGGCTTGGCTGGGATAGTATGAATTCATATTTCGGATGGACATGTGGTCAGAATCATATGTAATTTACAGCACGCGCGGGGTAACCGATAAGTCCGGGGGGGGGGGTAGAATCTATTAGCCTTTCAGAAAGGAGAATCCACCCTGCCAAACTTGATGTTGTCAACCCCACTTCTCGCGCAACCATCCCACCCACCCACCCGCAACTTAGTCTGCAGAACTCATGCGGCGACAATTGCGGTGACTGCTTGGCGTTAGCTGGCGCATCGCTGCGGCCGCGCTGGCGCGCGCAGGCTCGCGCGCAGATCGGCCAACTAGTCTACCGCGATGAATGCGGCCCCGATGGCACTGAGCGCTGGGGAGTTCCCAGCGCGTCTCGCAGGCTGGGCTGGCGCGCAGGCGTTCCGGTGCGAGTTGGTGACCTGGGCAGGCGCGGTATCATGGCGACCTCGACATCGGCAGACGCGATGATGATAGTGGCGACGCTGGCGCCGGTGATGGCAATGACGACGGTATGGCCAATGACGGCGCCGATGCTGACCACGTCGATGACGATGATAATGTCCACGTGTCGGTGATGATGGTTTTGGAAAGATTTCGACAAGCTCGCGGGGCCGACGGACGCGAGTGGCCCACATGGTATTACTTGACAGGGATCGCGCCCCCACCCCCCAGCACGCGCGCAAGGGCGCTCGAATGATTTCGACGCGCGCGTGAGGCTCACTTTGTCGCATTGGGCAACACTTTTGGGCAGCCGATGGTGTTCGCAACAAGTCGCATGAGCGCGCGCATACTTGCTTAACGAATAATGTTGAACAATCATTGTGTGTTCAAATCTATGTTTGGACACCGCGATCTTGGAACCCCTCCGAAACTTAAGGTTTCGAAAAGATTGCAGCACGCGCGCGCGGCGACGCGCACGGGTGGACGTTGTCTCACTTGTTGCAGGGGCACATTCCATACTGATGACTTGTGATAAACAAGGGCGCCCGCATAGTATTATTTGATGGGGGTGAATGGGGGGCGAGACACGCTGGGCTGAGAAATTATGGGGCCACTTGTAATACGAACGGGGGCCAGATCCGAACTTCTCATGGGGCAAGAAGATATGTGGTGCAATCGATGTGGCGCGATTTACTTGGTGCAATCTGTGCGTTCTGGTCTACGTGGTGCATGATATTTGGTGCGATTCGCGTGATGCAATATATGTGGTGCGATTGGGTTTCACAAAACGAGTTGGCACATTCCATGCTCCTGCAAACATCCCACCCACCCAACCGCAACTTGGTTTGCAAAAGCCCATGCGGCGGCGATTGCGATGAGTGTTTGGCGTTGGCTGGTGCGTCTCTGCGGCCGCGCCAACCCAGGTAACCCAAGCAAGCAAGCGCAGCGGCCAGGTAGCTCGGCGCGAACGAGGGGACATAACCATATGCAAATTGAACTACGAAAAAAGGAACGGATCATCCCGGAGGCAGGGCTCCATTCTCATTTAAGAATGGAGATTCTACGTGTTGAAATATACTGTGTATTGCGATCTATATGGTGCAATATACGAAAGGCAATCTGCATGGTGCAATATGTTATGTGATGCGGTCTACGTGGTGCTATACGGCGACCACGGAACCGCCAGACCGCCAGCTAGGCCCAGACGACGGTCGGCGACGAAGCGACGACGGGGCGGCGACGGCGAGTACGGAACCGCCAGACCGCCAGTCAGGCCCAAACGACGGTAGGCGACGAGGCGGCGACGGGGCGGCGACAGGGCGGCGACGGGGCGGCGACAGCGACCACGGAACCGCCAGACTGCCAGCCAGGCCCAGACGACGGTCGGCGACGAAGCGTCAACAACAACCATGAAGCCGCTAGACCGCCAACCAGACCCAGTTCCGTAGAAGAGCGATCAACATCCCTAAGTGCAAGTACTGTTTGGGGAACAACAACAATACAGACACTAACATACAATCGTAAACCGGATTTGAAATGATGGGCCCTGCGAGGGTGCAACCGGCAAACAAAGCAACAACAAAAAACACATACAACCTTCTGTGGCACCAGCAGCGCGAGTTTTTTTGTTTTCCCTCGCCACGGCCGGCGCTCTGTATAGACGAGACGGGGCGAGCGCCTGGCGCCACTGGCGGTGGCCAGAGGAATGGGACGGTGGACGCTGAGGAAAGGAAAATCATTATGATGAGGACCGGGCGGACGATGAGGACGATGAGGCGGCCAGGTGCAGAGCAGCAGCTCACGCCACGCCAGCGATGAGCCAGCAGGCACGGCGGTGGCTGGGCCGCGCGTCGCTCGTCGCCGACACGGGCGATCGCATTGGTGCGCGGGCCAACGGTAGCTGCGGCAGTGTCGAACGCTGGCGCCGCGATACGACCGAAGCAGCGGCGCTGGCAGGGGAGCGCATCGTCGCAGGGCAGCGCTAGCAGGAGCCACTGGTCCCAAACAGAGAACAAAGACCACCCATGAAACAACATGCTGCCCCGAAGCGAGATGCAGGACCTCCAAATCACAAAACCACCTGGCCCTAAAAAACAGCACGCGAACGCATCCCAAACAAAGCACCCAGTGAGAAAAAGACTGGCGCCGAAAAAATACACTGGTAATATACGCCCATCTCTGCGCCACCCAAGATTTCTGCACCCACCAGTCGACATCACCCGAAGAACCTGCCAGTTCTGGTACCGTTCATAATTACCAGTGCCTCCATGGCCGCGATCGACTGGCAATGGCTGTGGGTAGCTGGCTGGCGCTGCAGAGCGCGGGTCGCTTCAAAAACAATCTAACTTCGCATACACGTCGTTCGGAAGACGTATATATTTGTTCTATAACAACAACTAAACTAGGCAGGCGTTGGAAATAGATTGGGCTTCCGCCTGCCACCTGAAAAGGAGGGAAGAGGGAAGACCACTCGACTCTTGAAAAAAAAGGCGCCGCGCGGCACACGTGCCCGCCGGGCGCGGGCCGCATTACCTGGCACCCGCGAGGGCAGCACGCCTCTGGTGGCGGACCTAGGCTCCCGCGTAAGACGAAGCCAAGACGAGGATCAAATCGGGTGAGGATCTAATCGAGAATCTCTGAGATCCGGCTGCTCTGGAGGACGTCTCAAGCGCCGCGGCCTTCTCAGAGCGTTCTGGAACGCTCTGAGAGAGTTCCGGAAGGCTCTGGAACGGATGATCCTCGTCCAAGCCTGGCCTCGCCCGACTGGGCTCCTGCGACCCACCACGAACTCCCACGGGGCCCACGGAAGCCCCGCTGTGCTCGGGTCAGGCCGGCTCGAACCAAAATGGCTACGGAGAGGCCCCAGAAACACGGAACTGAGTTGGTTTCGCCCGAAGACGGCCCCTCCCCAATGCTCCCCAGTGGCTGCCCTACGACTGGGGCAACACGCAGCCCACCCGCACGGCTGAACTTTCCGCCAGCACAGGGCCATACTTTTTACTCGGCAGTGCAGGCGAAGGGCAGCCGTGGAGGAGGAGGAGGAGGAGGAGGAGGAGGAGGAGGAGGAGGAGGAGGAGGAGGAGGAGGAGGAGGAGGAGCGCACGCGACCCAGGGGGGAGGCGGGCCAGCAGCAACAGCAGCGAGAGGAGGGAAGTCCAGGTCCTCCGCGCCGCCGTACTACCTGAGCGCTGAGCTACCCTATCAGCCGCGTGCGCGCCCCCCGGCAAAGCAGCCCCCCTGGCAGCCAGGTGCCGGTTCGAGAAGGAGGAGGAGGAGGAGGAGGAGGAGGAGGAGGAGGAGGAGGAGGAGGCGGACGGGCCCAACCGCCGAGAGTCGGCGAATGAGCGGCGCGCGGGCGGCCTCAGGCACCGGAGATGGTGTGCACAGGGCAGCTGAGCAGCATGAGGGGCAGGTCGCGCACTACTGCACCACGCAGGCGCCTCCCAAAGGCAGGGGGACGGCGGCGACTCGCCAGAGGTGCCTTGGATAAGTGCAAGCGAACGGGCACGACGGAAGGCAGGACGAGGCCTCCGAGGCCCTCGGGGAACCTTCGGGCGCCTCGGAAGGCCCCATGGTCCCCAGACGTGCGACGCCTCGACCTTTTCCCACTGTTGAGGCCCCAGAAGTCCAAACCCTTTCCCCAAGGGCGGTTTTTCATCGCATCGCATCGCATCGCCAGCGGTACGGAAGCTGCCTGAACTATCACGGGGCGCCTTCACACCTCGTGGCAAGCATCTGCACGCCTGCTGCTGAAAGCTGTGGCCGGCGGCTTCTTCATCCCGAAGCGTTTATTGGTGCTCCCGGGGGCCCCGGGAAGCCCGAGACAAGGGCCCAAACCTGCCGTCATGATTTTTTCCCCGACGCGAGACCGTCCGGGTCGCCTCCGCCTGCCGCCTGCCCCCTCTCCCCAGGGGCCTCGTCGTCGTGCTCCAGGAGCGCCGCGAGCGTCCGCGCCGGTCCCGCGGACAGGATGGCCAGGCGCCCCAGCGCACGCACTGCCTCGCGCCGAGGGCGTGGACCGAGCAGGCTTGAGGCAGAGCCCTCCCGAGGAGCCTGAGCTCAACGCGTCGACCCCGGACCTGAGGGAAACAACACTCAAGTCTGAGCAGATGAAGCAAACAACAAGGCAGAGCAGTTGTTCGCTGGTTCAGGCCTCCACAAGGGCGGGCTTGAAGCTCCGTGGCTATTCCAAAGAGACGGCTCGGGATGATAAGCGGACCCCACAGGAGTGGTCGAGATGTCGGGAGGAGCACGCATCGAAAACATCAGGACGGCGGAGGTCTGAGAACGGGCCGGTGGGAACCCTGGCTTGCCCGACGGCCTCGGAACGCGGACGGCAGGTGCCTCTCCCCCAAAGCCACCAGGAGAGCCCCAAGAGGGGGAAAACAAGCTGACATGTCGAGTCCTTCCCCGAAGGATTGCCCCCGAGACCGCCAGCAAGCCTCCCCCAAAGCCCCTGGAGGCAGACAAAAAACTGACCCAAGAGGCCCCAGGCGGTCCCAAATGCCGCCAGAAGGCCCCGGTAAGGCCTCTCACAAGGCCCCAAGAAACCTGTCCCAGGTGCTCCCCAAGAAAAAATCGTGAGGCCTCCTCCTCCTCCTCCTCCTCCTCATCCGCCTCCTCCTCCTCCTCTTCCTCCCTCTCGCTCGCCACGAGCACACCGACAGATAGTTACAGCGATTCAACATGGGCCAGCGGTACGAGCGAGGCAATCCGTACGGAGCGTGAGATTATCGCATCATGGTCTGGTTGCAAGAATTGGTTCTGCGCAATGCCCTTACCTCTGCACTTCTTGCATTTCCTGTTTCACTGGAGCACTACACTACACATCCCTCCTGGAGTCCTTGCAGCGGCCTGCTCATTCCGCTGGCCTGGTGGCCCCGGCTGCGTCCTGGGCGTCCGCTGCCCGCCAGTTTGCCATCAAATCAAATATGTCTTCGCACGAGAGACTTCTGAACGCTTCCAGACGCCGTCTAGAACCTCACCGGGGGCCCTCCTATGATATCTTGGGGGCCTCTTGGGGGCATCTGGGGCTACTTCGGCCCGTTGTTGGGGCCTCTGAGGCCGTCTCGAAGCACTATGATCATGAAACCCCCTTCGCGCCATGGTGGGTCGAACTGCCCGAAAAAACGAAACAACCCTCAAACACCAGAACGGTTCGACGTCTTCGGCTGCGTCGGGCATATATGTCCGCCTTTCGGAAGTATCGTGGAGCCTCGTGTGCCACTCTTACGTCGGGCATGTCCTCCGACATGCGGATTTTTGAAGGAGAGCAAGAAATAGTCAAAACATGCTCATAAACAGTCAAAAAAACAGATGATGTTGGATTATGTTTGATTGCTCCTCCTGTAGAGGGATACGTCCGACTTGGTGCCACTCTCTTGGGCGACCCGTGAAAACGGCAAGAGGACGGGCAGCAGAGGCAAGGACACCAGGGGGGCACCCTACATGCTTGCGCGCGTCCTTACGAGGCGCGCTGACTGGAAGCATGCAAAGGGAACAGCAGAGCGAGAGAGAGAGAGAGAGAGAACGAGAGAGAGATCTCCCTTACCAGGATAACTTTAGTTAAACACACATCAGGCAATGATAACTTTAGTTAATCACACATCAGGCAATGGTAGCGGTGGAGAAGAAGAGTAGGATGAGGTGACAAGGGGAGATGGCAGGTCCCGGTCAACAAGTTCCTGAGTGAATCTAGATTGTTGGGTGACTGGCATCCCACCATCCCTGGTGAAACGCGCAGTTAGCAAACATACACGCTTGGCTGACAGATACGGAACCATGTGAAAACACAGCGACTACAGATGATCACGTGAACTGAACGCCCCAGACCAATTCAACTCGGTGGTAGTAGAAGAAGTGGCGGGTTGAGCATCATGTTTTTACTGGGCGGACGCTTGAACAAGGGCTGGTGTTTTCTCTCGGCAAGCGGTTCCACCTGGTTTCCTGCAACGTCGTCGAACGCAAAGCCCCAGCCAGAACAGAAGGCCCAACTGGATGAAGCGCTTGTGGCAAGCAAAGCATGCTTGAACAGATTGCAGGCCAAAAGAACTCTGTGAAATAGGAAATAAGGCTCCCAGCCGAGCCCCTTGAAGTCAGCGTCTTCAAAAGGGCACCGTGGTCTAGTTGCCGAACTCCGGGTGCGAAGATCCGAGGACGCGTCAGCATTCAAGCGTCTGCCGCCAGAGGGGCGCAACTCAACTCGGGTCATCATTTCACCAGACAGCGCAGGCGAGCGCCTTCGGCACGAACAGGTCGTCTGGACAGTCGCTGTCGCTGTCGCTGCTGCTGCTCTCGCTGCTGCTGCTGCTCTCGCTGCTGATGTCGACGCCCTTGCTGCACACCGGAGAAGACACCCAGGGGCTGGGCATCGGTGGCCACTGTTGGCGTTGCCCCATGTGTGGTCGCAGGGGTCATGAGTGTGAGCCTCTTCATCTTCTTCCCGTCCTCCTCTGCCCTCCCTTGTCCCCCAGAGGGGGATGAGTGAATCTCACTCTCGCTGTGTCGCTGGCTCCCCTGATGATCGTGAATAGCGGCCTGGGACAACTGCTTCCAGGCTTTGGAGACGCTGACTTCCGGGCCCTTGCCAACCACTGCAGTTATCTGCCCAGCGTCTGCCACCCAACCCTGCCAACGCACAGCGGCTGCTGAACACTATGAGAAGGAGGAAGCGGATGAGGATGAGGATGAGGGAGGAGATTGAACAGAGAGGAGGATGATCAGAAAGCACGAGGACGAAACAACACATGAAGAGGAAGCACTAGGAATCAATGCATTTGCTGCCCGGGGACGCGGGGAAACGCCCATCCCGCCCGAGGCCGAGGCCAGCAGAGAGAGGTCGAGACGGGGCGTTCGGGGCTGGACTGCTTCGATCCGTCGGAAGGGCAAGGCGCAAGGCCACCCGCCAGGGCCAGGGCGCTGACCCTCTCCACAGGCCGGGGAGGGCGGGCGTGCCAGGCGGGGTCGGGGCAAGGAGGTGGGGTCAGAGAGCACTCGCTGTGGACGGCCCCTCGAGGCGAGGAATGCCAGCCTCAAGCTGGGCTCGCTCCCTGGCCCCACCATGGGCTGAACCGCCCTTCGAAGAGGAGGAGGAGGAGGAGGAGGAGGAGGAGGAGGAGGAGGAGGAGGAGGAGGAGGAGGAGGAGGGGGGGAAGAGGGAGGAGGGAGGAGGAGGAGGGAGGAGGAGGGAGGAGGGAGGAGGGAGGAGGAGGAGGAGGAGGGGAGCAGGAGGAGGAGGAGGAGGAGGCGTGGCGAGAGCGGCCGCGCGGTGCCGCGGCCTCTCTCGCCACGCCTCTTGGCACCACCGGCGCCCAGACCCCCGGCATACCGCGCAGACCGGCAGGTCTGCACGAGCTGCCCCGAGGGGCCTCGCCTTCCCCACGATCGTGCGCACCACGGCGTTGAAGGGGTCGACACCACCGAAGGCAACGTTGATGATCTCCAGTATCCGCTCCTTGTCCCTGGTGGTGGAGCACTGGCTGCGGTCGGCATCGAAGTCGCGGAAAGCGGCGTCGATGGCGAGGGCGTCCTCGGCGTGGTGGCCGTCCCTCGTCACGCGGATGCAGGTGATGCTGTCCATGTTCTCGGCGCCGCCCATGTGCACGAAGGCGAACAGCTCCAAGATGCACCACAGGCGCGTGAGGTAGGTCACGCCGCCCAGGACCACCAGCTCCTGGCACCCAGCGAGGAATATCGGCAGGCAGCGGAGGTCGGTCTCGATATCGCCGGGGAGCTGGAACGAAAAGGCCACCCGCACCGTCTCAGCCTGCCCGCCCCTTTCCCTGCCCCTGCTGCGCCCCTCTTGCACAACAGGCCACGTGACTTCGTGCACCGCGCCCCTCGATGCGCGAAGGCGCGACGACCTTCGCGCCGTCGCGCCCTCGCGCCGCCCCCTTGGAGGATGGCAGCCTCTCTGGCCCAAGCCGCGACGCGCCAATCGCGACCATCTTCGCGCCCCTGGGGGTGACCTAGCTTCCCGCCCTCCACCCTGACCAGTTTGCGGTGGGGGCGGCATCCCTCGTTCGGCGGCTCCCCCATCGTTCTGGTCGATGCAGTACTTGTCGAACCACACGCGTGGCTCCCGGCCGCGGCTGTCTATGAATTCCTCCCGCCACGACTGCAGCGCGCGCCACTTGGCCGCGGCGTCATCGTGCCACGAGTGCGAGATGAAGGCATCGCACTCAAAGAGAGCCGCCTTCTCGGTTAGCTGGAACAGCTCCGGCTGCGGAAAGTTGTCGGCCATGTCAGAGAAATTGACGTCCTCGAGGGAGACGCAGCGGAATCTGGAGATTGCCTGCGCCAGTGCCTCCTCCGTCGAACAATTGCCCACCAAGCATGCAATGCCAGCCGCGGACCGCTGCATCCGGTGCAGCTCGAACCGCCGGCCGATCCACACATGGATTCGCGTTCGCGCCGAAGGCGAAAATCCGCCACCGTACCCCCTGGCATGTTGAGGCGGGGTAGCATGCCAAGTGCTGTCTGATAGGGTTATTCAAAATCTTCTGTGGGAGCCCCCCACCACTCTGCTAGCAGACAGGTGCGTGCATCACCCGCGCTCCCGAGGCCACCATCCCTTGCGAAATACGATGGGTCCGCGCTCCCGAGGCCACGATCCTGCACAAAAACAATGGGTCAGTGCTCCTGGGCGTCCTGGGCGGCCGAGGTAGGTAACCAAGGCCGCCAAGATGCTCCACGATGCCTCTGAGACAACTCCAAGGCGGCCTAAGATGTCCCGACGACAGCCCGAGATGCCTCCAATGTTTGTGAAAGATGTTTGCAATCTCGCCTTTTCGGGGCTTCCGTCAGCTGAAGGCGGCTCAAGAAAAATCCAAGATTGCCACGAGGGTCACAAGACGGTCCAAGAGGATCCATGATGGCCCAAGAGGCCTCCACGACGGCCCCACAACTGCCCAAGCGGGCCTCCAGAGAGACACGAGACGGCCTCAGCAGGCGCCTTGACAACCAATGAGCACACGCAGACGGCCCCACGACAGCCCCCACGCGGCCAATTGTGCCCAACGACGGCTCAAGAGGCCCCAGGACTGCCAGACGGGACTCTCAAGACTGTCCCACAGCAGCCCAAGGCAGCCCCAAGGCGGCCCAAATAAGCTCAACAGCAGATAAAGACGAAAGGTGTCACATGTGACAGGCTCCTCCTGCCCCTCCTGCTCCTCCTGCTCCTCCTCCTCCTCCTCCTCCTCCTCCTCCTCCTCATCGGCATCGTCATCGTCATCGTCATCGTCATCGTCATCATCGTCATCATCGTCATCATCATCATCATCATCATCATCATCATCATCATCATCATCATCAACATCATCAGCGTCGTCATCATCGTCGTCATCAGTGTCATCATCATCATCACCATCATCATCAGCAGCATCAGCATCCAATTCTGCATATTCATCGTCGTAATCAGCATCCTCATCATCGTCCCCATCCTCATCCGCCTCCTCCTCATCTTCCTTGTTCTCATGATCATGATCATCATCCGAATCATCATCATCATCATCATCATCATCAGCATCATCATCATCATCGCAATCAGTTTCATCGTCCGTAGTATCATCGCCACCATCATCATCATCATCATCACCATCATCAGCATCATCAGCATCATCATCAGCATCATCATCCTCATCCTCCTCCTCATCATCATCAGCATCATCATCATCACCAACAACTTCCTAATCAATCATCGCCCACGCTAGGGAACGCGAGGTGTCACACTTGACAGCCTCCCGTGCCCCTCAGACCAGTCGCCACCCAGAATACTGGGCTGCAACGTTGGCGGGACTTGCCGCAGGCAACTGGATACCAGGTACAATGTAATCATACCCGCCACCGTGCCCCCAAGCACAACGTGGAGGCTCGTCGGTCCTTCGAGCCCTCTGCATAGGATACTGCAATGCGCCCTCGAGTTCCAAGGCGGTCCATTGGGGCCCCGAGACGGCCCAAGAGCGCGTCGAGACGCCCAAGCTGGCCATACGACGGCCCAGGAGGCCCCCAAGACGCCCCAAGAGGGCTCCAGAGGGCAAACCAAGGGGCCCCAAGGGGCAAACATAATCGATGCTTCACTGGCGTGTTCGTCAGATTATCGCGCTCTCCCCGTTCGGGCTCCCGACGCTCCAAGACTTCACAAGAGGCCCCCAAGATCGCCCCAATGCGGCCCACGCTGCTCTCATGACGGAAGAAGATGGCCCCGGCACGGCCCACGAGGCAAAAGGCGGCCCAAGAGGGCCCCAAGGGGGGCCCGAGAGGGAGCACACGAACCTATAATTCGGTCCCTCCGCCCCGAAGATGACCCCCGAGACCGCCAGCATGCCCCCGAGAGGCTCACGAGAAGCCCAAGGAGGCCCCCAGTGGGCCCAACAGAGGCTCCAAGAGGTCCCCGGGAAACCCCTATGACACCCCAGAACCGCTTCCAAGAGGTTCCCGAGAGGCCTCCCAATGCATCCCCACACGAATCCAAGAGGCCTCTGAGCTACAGACCAGGCGCGCTGGCGAGGTGTGCCGAAGGCCATCAAATAGCCAAGCAACCTCGTCCACACATAACATAGTGTGCCGTTCCGCGCTATATACATTAAGCAGTACACCAAAATAAGGGATGCCTCCGAACAGCGACCAAAAGCCAACAAGCGCCACATGCGCCGTTGCATATCGACAACCTTGGTACTGAACACACATGCGATACCCAAAACAATAGACACCACATCCACAACAAGCCGCTGTCCATGAAGGTACCACTGACACGCACGCCCAATGCAAAACTCCTCAGGGCACAACTTCAGGAAATTCGCATCCAAACTGAAGGGGATCAGACCAGAAAAATGAAGAATAATGAAAACCAAGTCAACCGTCCACCACAGTGAACAAATCAGCATTACAACAATTGTGCGTACCCTATCGTCGGGCAGCGCTGACATACAGCCAATAAATTGCCCCAAGTCGGCAATCATGCTCGAAAAATACAGCAACACATAATTACCGCCTTGGTTCACACTGGTCACGTCAAGTATGACATCAAGCCCCAGAGAACACAACCCCAAGCCAAACATCGTGCCCGACACCCCTCGTCGTATCCGGCGTAGGGCCAACTGACCCTCCAGCAACTTCCCTTCGATGACGCTGCGAGTCCTCCCTGTGCGATGTGCCCCCATGGCGCCCGGTTGCAAATGCCCCGCGAGCTTCGGCCACACGTGTAAGAGTGACCCCAGACAAGAGTGACCTTGGGTGTGTGGCTTGTCGGCCGTTGCGTGCGGTGCGACAGCGGCGGCCTGCCTGCTTACGTAGGATTGGCCCCGCATCGCCCCCCCAAAACCGCGCAGAACTCACGCCAGCGAAGGGTCACTTTTACGCGCAGCCGAGCTGAGCTGCCCCGTCCTGGCTGGCTTGCCGGAACCTGACACTGCTGAGGTGCAACGATAGAGGGGGGACTGGCATGGGGAGGGTAAACATCGACCTGGAGTCGGCGATCCATCGCCGATAGATCGGCGGTAGGCCCCCGATCGTGAATCTGCACGCTCCCGTGCGGGGTGGAGCTGTCAGAGCCCTATCCGCCATCAAGGGGCGATGGGGGGCCGATGCGTCCACCCCTGTGCCTATCCCCCCCTGCCGGTGCCCCTGAACTGCTGGCACGATGCTGCTGCTCCCGACTCCGCTGGTCTCACCTCCCGTGGGCGCTGCGGGCGGGGGCGGGCGGTCCAGGGCGAAGGTGCGCGATGCCCCCCCCCCCGCGCGACGGCCGGCCCACGAGAGCCCCTCGAGGGGGAGGTCGCGCAGAAGGGCGCACTGCGAAGCTGAGCTCATACTCCTCCTCCTCCTCCTCCTCCTCCTCCTCCTCCTCCTCCTCCTCCTCCTCCTCCTCCTCCTCCTCCTCCTCCTCCCCCTCCTCCTCCTCCTCCTCCTCCTGCTCCTCCTCCTCCTCCTCCTGCTCCTCCTCCTCCTGCTCCTGCTCCTGCTCCTGCTCCTGTTCCTCCTCCTCCTCCTCCTCCTCCTTGACGCTGCGCAGACATGGATCGGAGATCGTTGCGTTCGGGGTGTGGTTAAAAATCCGACCGAGGCAACGAGCTAACGAATTGAGCCTGGCGGGCGCAGCAGAAACAAAGGAGAAAAACTAAGAGCAGCGGAACGGGTACAGGGGACGTGATGCCATAGAGCATGCGCCCGCCAGGCCGCATAGTGGAGTGGGGGAGGACAACAAACCACTACCTTAATAGTCACACACAAGGAGGATGCCGAACGATGAGAGGACGAACTACGCGTGCATTGCGATATATATTGAAGAGGCAGGCGACGCCAAGAGAGTAAAAAAGGTCCTTGTCCTCCTCTTCCACCCCTACTCCGACTCCACCCCTCCCCAGCTCCCTTAATCAAAGGCCCCTCGCCAGGGGCAGTGCTGTGCTGAAAGCTGTTGCAAGCAGGCGGATGCCTCACAGAAGTCTCCTCCACCACACTTCTATCAATCGCAACCGACCACCTCCACCGATTAAAGGACCCTCGCCGAGAGTATTCCCAGATCCAATGTTACGATGCTCTGCTTAACTCGTGCGAAACGTGCTGTTTCCTAGCGGCTGCTGGGATGGGCCTTGAATGGCTCTTGAAACGATGGCCAGCCGAGTCTTGCAAGTGCGGTGGCTGTCCTTCACTACCTCCACTCCGTAAACATCCCTCCTCCCTCCTAGAGAGGCGTGGCCTGGACTTGGTGAAATGCGCTGCCTGAACTTGATGACGTGCGTGGTCCAAACTAGGTGAGATACGCAACCTCAATGTGTGAGGTCCGCGGCCTACCCCGGCCACATGTGCGGCCCTCCGGCGGGCCCCCCCGAACAGGGGCGCGAAAAACTCGAGAGCAGCTCGGCCCTGGATCCTGGAGCCTGATTCCTGGATCCTGGATCCTGGGCCCTGGATCTTGGAGCTGGACCCTCGATCCTGGACCCTCCATCTGGACGCGCCTTGTAGCACACGTACCTGTTGCCGTCCTCCGAGGCGGCCCCCGCGAGCGCCGGCGCGAGGGTGCCCAGGGCAGCCTGGCGCTGCGTGCCGCCGCGAGGCAGAGGCGGAGGCTAGCGCAGCGCGAGAGTGGGCCCTGCCTCCTTCGCCCACTTGCACAGTTCCCTCAGCTGCTCCTCCCCCCCCTCCTCTTCCTCCTTCTCCTCCTCCTTCTCCTTCTCCTCCCCCTCCTCCTCCTCCTCCTCCTCCTTCTCCCTGCCCCTCCTCGACCCTCCAGCTCCTCCTCCTCCAGCTCCTTCAGCTCATCCTCCAGCTCCAACCCCTCCACATCCTCCAGCTCTCGCTGGTGCCCCGTCTCCGCTCTACATACTCTTGGGAGGCCCAGGATCCTGGTGGCCCACATCCCTGAAGCCATTGCACGGCCACCACCTCCCCTGAGATCCGACGTTGCCTCGAACATGCGACGCCCGGAGCCCTAGACCCCGTCTTCCTGCGCCATTTATCGAGCCGGATCGATCTGTCGGATCAGTCCCGGATCCGACAGACCAGGTTGGGCTCCAAGGCAGGAGAGCCCAGAATCGAATCGATTAGTCGGATCGGCAATCGAAATCAATCGGGTCGGCGGTCGGCAGCCCAGTCGGAAATCGGCAGGCCAGTAATGCCTCCACTATAACATCGGACTCCAAATCGGAATCCGACGTCGAACCGAACTGGAATCGGAATCGACTGAAACCGAATCGAACCGAACCGAACCGAATCTCGAATCGGATCGAGCCGAAGGCATCGAAATTCGCCCTGCCAGGGCGAATCCAGGAGGCCCGCCTCGTCCAGGAAAGCCGCGCCCTGATGCGCCGCCGCCTCCACTGCCGCGCAGCGGCGCTCCCAGGCCTCGTCGCCGAGCTGGTCGAGCAGCCGGGCCGCGCGGCGCGCCTTGGGGCTCGCGAGTTCCCAGTCTGCAGGTCTTCGCGCCGTGCCCCATGGGGTACAAAGTCTTCCCATGGTCTGCCACCGACCCGCCTGCAGCACACTCGATTATTCAATGTATTATTTATGTGTATGTTGTGCTTGTGCCTGCACGCCGCCACCTGCCACAATTTTCCTTGCCAATGCGCCGTCTGGGCGCGGCTTACGTCTGTCTGTCTGTGTCGGGTCATGAACAAAATCACGACGGAGATTTGTTCGCTATTTTCGGCCTCTGGGAGCCCTTACCGGGCCTCGGGACCGTCAAACAACTACTCAGGATGAGGAACCGCTCCCTGGGAATGGGTCCAGACCACGGGGGGTCGACGTCATGAAAAATCATGAAGAAGCCTCAAGATCTGGGCATTGCAAGTTTTGCAGACTGGGCGGCTTCGCCATGTCTTTTCATCACTCGTGGGGTCTGTCCGAGATAAATCGGCGGTGGACAAACCTCCCTTTAGTAAACCCCCCTTTCGTGAAAACGGCCTGGGACCGAAACCAACGGACCTGGACCCGCAAAAATGATGGCCGCGGAGCCCTCTCGCGAACCGAAAACGGCCAATTCTCAGAAAAAAGGTCATCCCCGGCAGAAGGGTTCCATCTCCAGCAGAGGGGCTCCATCCCTGGCAGCCAGTTTCAACGTTCTCAGCTTTGAAGCCAAGCCTCTTGGGCCTCCCGACAGGCCTCTTGGGCCTTCCGACAAGCCTCTTGAGCCTCCCGACTGGCCTCTTGGGCCTTCCGACGGGCCTCTTGGGCCTTCCAAGAGGCCCTTTGGGTCTTCCGAGCGGCCTCCCATCAAGTTTCTTGGGCCTCCCGACAAGCCTCTTGGGCCTCCTGACGGTCCTCTTGGAGCTCCGGGTTGCGGATGGGGAGGGGGCAACCCTCGGCGGCCCCCTGCGGCCCTCGACGGCCTTCGGGTTCCGTGCGGCGGCTTTCGGCGTGCCTTGGCCTTTCAACTGGTGTCCACCTCTCCTCCCCGTGGGGTGGTACGGGGCACAGTCTGAACACAGCCGGCAATGGGAGGGCCAAGAGCAGCACGCATACGCAATAGCAGAAAATGGTGTTGTTGCAACTGTTCCAGGAATGAATCGTGAATGGGGAATTGCCGGGTATTAAGACGACGACGATGCCTCCAGAGGTCAAATAAGAGGCAGCCGTGGAGGCCCCGGAGGTATCTGGATACCCGAGGACCAGGAGGACCGATGACTGACGACGACGACGACGTCGACGGCTTTCACCAACAGCGGTCGGCAATGCGCAAGAAGGAACCTTGGCAAGAGTGGCCTCTGGTGTGCGGCTTGAGGGGACCACGGGGGTCCAAACCCAAGCGCGCATACAGGTGCTGGGGAGACGCCTGTGGGCCCGCCACACACGCCACTGCGGCGAAGGCTCGCCCTTCTGAATGCAGCCGAGGCCACGACGGCGACGGCGGCGGCGCTGTTAGCGGCGCTGACCGACGGTGGCGACGCCGACGGGGACGCCAACGGAGAAGCCAACACCGACGGCGACGCCGACGGCGGCGCAGACGGCAGCGGCGAAGACGACGCCCGGCGCGCCGCCAGCGGCGCGCGGAAGAAGGCGGCGTCCGCGGCGCTCGCGGCGCGGAGGCTCGCCAGCGCGGCCTCCCGCCCGAGGCGCCGGTCGTCGTCGTCGTCGTCGTCGTCGTCGTCGTCGTCGTCGTCCTCGTCGTCGTCGTCGTCGTCGTCGTCCTCGTCGTCGTCGTCGAGCGCAGCCACCAGGCGTCGCAGTCTTCGAGCCTCGATCCTTGATCTTGGGGGGTCGAGGATCGGTGTCGTGGGCTTCGGTGTCGATCACATCGTCGTCGTCGTCGTCCATCCTCGAGGGTCTACGACAACGCGGTCGAACGCTGTCGATAGCTATCGGCCGTCGTCGTCGCCCAACGCCGCGACCTTCGATTATTGGATCCCTGGAGCGTCGGTCCTCGAGGATCTCGATCATGGTTGCCCCTCCTGCGCCTCCGGGGGCGTGGGGAAAAAGGATTTGAAGATTTTTGGGGCCCCTTTTGCGCCACTGGAAGTCCCTGGAGGCATCGTTGCCGTTCTCGTCATCATCGAACGTCGTTCGGGGATCTGGGATTTGGACGTTGGCTTGCCCTCGTTGCACCTCCGGAGACCTGCTAGAATCTCCGGACACCACCAGAAACCTCCTCTTCGTCGTCGAACGTCGCCGACCGTTGTCGTCGAACGCCTCCGTCGTTGTCATGTCCGCGTGTCGCCGAACGTCGAAGCCATCGTCTAACCGTCGTAAACATCGTCGTCGTCGTCGACGTCGACGTTGTCCTCCTCCTCCCACCCTTCCATTATCCTTCCTCTTCCCTCCATCTGTTGTGCTCCTCATGGCTCCCCTCCTCGGGATGAGGAGAAGGGGGGCGGAGGAAGACGGGGGAGGGAGGAGAGGGGAGGAAGGAGGAGGTAGGGAGGCAGGGAGGGTCGGGGGGAGGAGGTCCACCCTCCTGTCCTTCTTCCCAACGTGCCCGGCCCGCGCACATGCTCAAAGGCGGGCCACCTCCGAGCAGCTAGCTCGCTCACTGACCGCTAGCTGGGCGATTCCTCCGCTTCCTCCTCATCAGCCTCCTCCTCCTCCTCCTCCTCCTCCTCCTCCTCCTCCTCCTCCTCCTACTCCTCTCCTGGTCCTCCACCTCTACTCCTTGTCATCATGACCACCAGCATCATCATTATCATCATCAGCATCAGCATCATCACCATCATCATCATCACCACCATCATCATCATCAGCATCATCATTATCATCAGCATCATCATCACCAGTATCAAAGCCATCATCAGCAGCAGCAGCATCATCATCATCATCACCATCATCTTCATCATCATCAACATCATCATCATCATCATCATCATCATCATCATCATCATCGTCATCAACATCAATCATCCGCATCGTCGCCACCGTCCTCACCATCACAATCATCATCGTCATGATCGCGACGCGTCCAAGGCAAAGCCATCATCGACCTCATCGCCACCATCCTCACCATCATCCTCATTGTCCTCCATCGTCCTCATCATCATGATCGCCATAATCGTCGTCAACTTCGCCGTCGTCGCCGGTATCATCATCCTCGTCTTCGCACCCCCCCCAACACCCATCTTCTTCCTCCTCATCAGCCTCGACCGTCCTCCTCATCCTCCCCCCTCCGTCCACCCTCCCCCCCTCCCTCCTCCTCCTCCTCCTCCTCCTCCTCCTCCTCCTCCTCCTCCTGCTCCTCTTGCTCCTCTTGCTCCTCCTCGTCCTCCTCCTCCTCCTCCTCCTCCTCCTCCTCCTCTTCCCCCTCCGCGCGGCCAGATCGCAGCCGGACCACGAGCCGGGCGACTCTGGCAGCGCCCGGAGCATCCGCGCGCGCGGCGGGGCGGCTTCTCCCTTCGGGAGGGCGCCACGCCGGTGCCGAGATAGGCTGCGGGCGAGGGGGCGTCTGGGGGGGGGGGGGAGGAGCGAGGGGGGGCACGGATGGAGGGGGAGGGGGAGGGAGGGGGACGGAAGCGGGGGGGGCGAGGGATGGAGGGTAAGCTAGGTGCGCTAGCGTCACATCTGACGTCCGAGCCCTCCCTCCCAGCCCCGACCATGGCGTAGGGCTCCGATCTATTCGCACAGTCGAATGTCGAGCAGGGCAATGATCCCAAGAGGGCACGCGATGGATGGGAAAACATTGCGCAGAATAGCACGGCAGAGCATACCATGTCATAGCATGGCGTGGCATTGCGTCCTCAAGCATTGCATCACGAAGCGTAGCAACGCAAATCATGGCATCGCACAGCGGTGAACAACACAGCATCACGTTGCATGCCGTGGCCTGGTACCGGATGACTTGGAGGTCCGTCTACGAAAGGAAAGGCCTGTCCGGAATGGCGGCTCCATGTCCTTCGCAGCCGTGCCTGCCCGATGTGGGTGCTTTCGACTGCCAAGTGCCATCCGGAGGCGCGGGAACGAGGCCAGCGCTGCAGCGGGAGCACGATTTTGAATGACCGAAGCGCGGAAATCAGGGCGGCGCTGAAATAACCGGATTGAAACAACACATCGGAAAAAAACGAAACATAAAATCCGGTGAAACAAAAAAACAATACGCGAAGAGGACGGGACACTCTCCGGACAGAGTCAGGGGAGAGAGGAGAGAGGTATTCAAATTGTGTAATTGTGGAGGGGGGTGGAAGTGGAGGGGGGGGAGGAAGTAGGGGGAGGAGGATTGCCGGAGAGGCGGGGGATGGAAGGGGGAGGAGAAGGCGAAAGGGCAGAGGGAGGGATGATGGGTGGAGGGCAAGGGGGGAGGAGTGGAGGAGGAGGGGGATGGAAGGGGGGAGGGTTGGAGGGGGAGCGGGATGGAAGGAGAGGTCGAACGGACCCGGCCTTGCACCAGTCTGCGTGCCGTCTTGCTGAAGGCTCCCTCACCACGAGTGAGGAAGGGGAGGGGAAGGAGGGAGGAGCGAGGGGGGAAAGGGAGGAGGTTGGGGGTGCGGGATGGGAGAAGAGCCGCCCTCGGCGGCAAAGGAGCCATGCCCGGTTCGGCGATCGGCGCTCGACGTTCCGCTTGCACATGCTGAGGAGACGAGGCGTCGTGCAATACATCGGAGGTTGAAAGGGTGAGACCGAAGCGAAACGCCAGCTGCCCGAACCGGGAACTCATTTCGTGCGTAACGTGCGTGCAGGCGGGGCGAAGCTGCGCGAGTTCCTGCACTGGTCCTCTAAAGGCTAAGTCAGACACAAATGAGTTGCCACCCCCCGGTGTACACCCTGTGAGTGAGCCGTCGCCCCCGGTTGTGCTGATGCTTGCACCAATGGTTGTCCCGATGGTTGTCCCGATGGTTGTCCCGATGGTTGTCTCGCTGGTTGCCCCGACGGCTGCCCCGACGGTTGTCCCCATGGCCAAGCTTGAGGTGCAGACAATGCCGAGGGCAATCGCGCCAAATGGGGCAACGATGACATTTCACCTTCTGATCTTAACGCTGACGCCGCAGCCCTCGGTGCAGAATATATTGGGTGGGGCTGCTCCGCTTGCCAAGCACGTCTTTTGCCAATGCTGTGTGTGTGGAGAGCTGGATTGAAACTCTACGCACGGAACCGACAAGAAGTGCTCGCTCTGAGAAACAGCCTGGAGGTGGATTGCTACGGCACTCCGAATAGCAGTTCTCATCATGGAGATTGAAACTCTTGACGCGCCGCGCTCACATCCATTCACAAGCAATCGTACTGCAAAATTCTACAACTCTGGGATTGACTTCCTGCCTAGGGTCCTAGAACAGAAAGGGGAAAATTGGCAGTCAGTCGCTCGATGATGCTGCGCCCATGTATTGCAGCTCACCCTGAACTTTCCAGACCTGAAGACGTGAGAACAACTTGGTGGCGCGCCAAAGGGGGTAGGGGGAGGGGGAAGGCTTCTTAGGAGGAGGCTGCTCCGTAGAAGGCGCCGGTCCTACATCTCTAGAGAAAGCCTGCGCCTTCTCACAAGCAGGGGTGCTTCGAAGAAGCCTTCCCCCCCTCCCCCCTACCCCCCCCTGCGCGTGGCCGAGCATTGATCGTGCTACACTGGCAGATGTCGCACCACACAAGTTCCTGACGTCGTGCTGCAGGACCTGGCGGCGCACGCCCGACAAGCACATCATTTGAGAGAGAGCCCCTTCGCGAGCTACAGCCAAAAGCAGGATCACGAAACAAATCATCGAAGAGATCTGGGCCAGCTTCCCCGACATTTCCGAAGACAGTCCTGTGCGAATCTCTGCTGTTCACGCTGGAGTGACGGACGTGCTAAATCAACTGGGCCAGCTCTGCGGCAGGTGGGTTCAGAAACGCTGGCCCAGCGCTTCGGGAAGAGGTTTCGCAATCAGATGCTCGACTGTACTCACACCGCCCCGACCAGCGGCTCTCGAAGAACTCAAGCATCAACCGCGCCTCCTCACACGTGGGGAACTCCCTGTGCATCGGGCGACAAGTTCCAAAGCGGCGTCTTCGAACGGGAGCTCTTCGCAACCCCGGCTCCCGGAACCCACGAGAGCCTTCCGGCACGCGCCGTGGCCCCACGATGCCCCGCACAGAGGCCCCACGAGGCTCAGACACGCCACCCGTAGAGCTAGAGGTGCCCCCAGCGGGGCCCCAAGAGGCCGCCACAGCCGCATGTGCCGCCCAGAGATCCGAGGTGCCGCCATGGCAAGTCCGCAGGAGGCCCTCCAGACTCCACCACGGCTACGAGAGCCCCCGACAGAAAAAAAAACGCAGAGGGGCGGTGGCCGTGTGCGTGCGACCGCCCGGGCGTTGGGTGCACGTGTCCGTGCGCGCGCGTGGCATTGCGAGGGCAGGCCCGGAGGTGCGGCGCCAGCCCCTCCTGAGAGTCTGATATATCCCCCCGCGTTGGCTTCTGCGTCATCGAGGATCCTGACCGCCCACGGGCGCGCCCGCGCCTGCGCACGCAGAAGATGCGCGGGAAGGGTCGGGGGCGGAAGAAGCGGGCCGCGAGCGAGGGAGCGAGAGAGAGAGAGGGACAGAAAGCGGCAGCGAGAGGCCCAGAGGGGAACGCCCGCTCACTTGCCCTCGTGCTCGTTGGCGTCCTTGACGGCTGGCGAGAGCTCCACGATGCTCTTCGGGTCCTTGCCCTGGCGAGCAAGAAAAAGCGAGGCCTTGGAGGGAACCCGTCGAAACAACGGCGTGGCCTGCCATCCCCGGTGGTGCTCAGCTAACTTCGTGCATCGCGTCACGCGATGCGCGAAGCGCGGCCAACTTCGCGCCCTCCCGCCGTCGCGCCGCTCCCGGTCTGAAAAGCAGCTGCCCTGGCCCGGTCCGCGACGCACAAAGCGCGGTTATCTTCGCGCCCCCGAGGGTTGGATCCCCAAGCACGGCTGCTATAATCCTGCCGATGTCGGCGCAATTTGAGCGCTCTGAGTGGGAACCTGAGAAGAGTCGGCGGCGAGCGAGTGGGGGGGGGGCGTGAGAAGGAGAATGCCTTCTCCGAAGGGGGCGAAACCTCTCAGAAGGCCCCCAACCTTATGACAGGTCTTCTGCGTCCTCGGGGAAGGCTTAGAAAGCTTCTCAGAAGGCCAGGGGGCTTCCGAGCCTTCTGAGAAGAGCCGTCCCTTAGAAGGAAGCGGAGGCTGCGACGCTATCCGCCCTCCTGCCCCCTCCAGCATCCTCCTGCCTCCTCCTTTAACAGCCTCCGACCTTCTCCAACATCCTCCTACCTCCTGCCTCCTCCTTCTCCTCCACCCTCCTGCCTCCTGCCTCGTCCTCCTCCTCCTCCTCATCCTCCTCCTCCTCCTCCTCCTCCTCTTCCTCGTTCCCCTCGTCCTCAATAAACCCCTCCTTCTTCCCCCCTGGGCTCGCTGCCGAACGAGACACCGTCATCGGTGGAGGCGTCTCGGACGGGGCCCGAGCCAATGGGGCCGGAAAACGCGCACCGTGTCGCGCTGTGCACCGCCGCTGCACCGGCGACGTCGCGACGGCGACAATCGGACTTCTGCTCGCGCCGGTCCGCCAGAGTCCGCCAGTGCATCGGCGATGCGGCGCGATCCTCTGACCCGATCTGCTCTGGCCCCATCTGGTAGGCCTGGAATCGCCAGCGCAGTAGAATTTTAGGATTCCCAGCTGTTCCAGCTTGGCTTCCCAGCAAATGCACTGCAGAATGACAGCAGCTTGTGTCAAAATATTCGCTCCATGACTGGGCCGTCTCTGAATTGGTCACCCCGCTTCCCTCCAAATTGCCATGCAGGCAGCCTCAAAAGCAATCTGGTATATGGTCGTGAGCAGTGGCAACCGGTTCGTCAGCTTGTTGGCCTGCATGATGGGCCAGATCTCCTCACCACAGTTGCGATTTGTCCCACATGTCTCCAACATAGGCTCCCCTCAGGGTGGCTGATAGGCACACACACAGAATGTTCGAACTGTGATGGCGCAGAGATCGATCATGAAAGTAAGCAACGACGCATGCGTACGCGCAGGTGCATATGAACACGTTAAGGCACGTGAGCGCGCATGATCATTTGACCGCTCACATGTGTAGACAGCCACGTGTACCTGCACGCGTGTACGATCACTACTCCATCGATCGAAGCGGCAGCCCTGGGTAGGGCTGTTCCGACCATAGCGAGCGCCGTCTCGGAAAGAGATGCCACCCCACCACCAACACGGCCTCAGGTGTTCGCGGGTGGCTCGACTGGCTGGCCAATACGCAAGCTGTGGCCCCGGCCTTTGGTGGCATTGCACCCTGCCTGGGGGAGGGGGGGGGGGGGGGGGCAATCCGCAGGCTTTACGGTCGGGAACTTTTGCTGAGCCTGTCGCCACGGCGGCCCCCGGCGACACGCTGTGCCCCGCGAGCGGATAGCGTGTCGCTCCGCTCCGCGGGGCGGGAGGTCGGGAAACTCTCGGGACGTTGATGTTTGGGAATGGGAAAGTGGGTAGAGTGCCGCGCCGAAGCGTGGTGGGCCAGAACAGGCGGAGAGAAACGCCATCCCTAATTTTCCGACCGTAGACCCACAATAATCCTGGACCCGCCATATCTGAAGCATGGACGATGGCACAGCCTAGCGGCGAACGGACTGGATCCCCTTGGGCTGCAGACGTCATCGCGAGGAGCGTGGCGGGCAGATTTTTCGTGGACCCGTGAGTGACCGAAAGAGCAGGACAAGCGAAGACTCCTCCACCGCCTCCTCCTCTTTTTCCTCCTCTTTTTCCTCCTCCTCTTTTTCCTCCTCCTTCTCCTCCTCCTCCTCCTAGCCTTCGGTTCCCTCCTCCTCCTCCTCCTCCTCACCCTGCTGCTGCCCTTCCTCCTCAGTGGGCGCCTCGCTACGGCAGCACCGTCGTCGTCGGCGGCCGCTCTCTCTCTCTCTTTCATTATTTCTCTCTCTCTCTCTCTCTCAGACGAGCTCCCCGCACACCAGACGAGGAGTGCGGAGGGGGGTGGCTGACCCGCCGCGCGCGCGTGCGCTTCTCGGCAGGCAGCGCCGTCGCGGCAGCTGCTGGCGCCGAGGCCGCTCCCGACCCCCCGCCGAAGGCCGGCCGTCGGGCACAGCCGCGGAGGGTCCGATCCATGCTGCCGGGAGGCTTTCGCCAGGCTGCCTTTCTCGCGGGCGCAGGGCCCGCAAGCAGGAGTCTCCAACGGCGCCGCTCTGCTGGCAGACGGCGGGGGAGGGAGGAAAGTGTGCACAGTAGGCCCAGAGGCCCTGGAAACCTTCTGGAGCCCCCCCGAGGCCTCCAGGGACATCCTCGAGGGGCGCGGAAGGGAAGAGGAGGTATCGAGGATGGCCTCGTGTCCACCCGGCCCTCCTCCTCCTCCTCCTCCTCCGCCTCCTCCTCCTTTTCCTCCTCCTCCTCCTCCTCCTCCTCCTCTTCCTCCTCCTCCTCCTTCCCCTCGTCTTCTTTCCCGGCCTTCCTCCTCCTCTTCCTCTTCCGCCTCCTCCTCTCCTCCTCCTCCTCCTCCTCCTCCTCCTTCTCCTCCTCCTCCTCCTCCTCCTCCTCCTCTTCCTCTCCTCCTCTTCTTGTTCCTCCTCCTCCTCCTCCTCCTCCTCCTCCTCCTCCTCCTCGATGCCGCCGCGCGAGGCCGTGGGCCGACCGGCGCTGCCGCGGCAAGCCGGCGGCGGCGAGAGGGCCGGCCCCCCCCCCACCCGCCCGTAAGGCCTCTGCCGAGAGGCCGACGGGCGGGCTCCTGCGCCGTGAGCGTGCCCTGCAGCTTCTGGCCCCCCAGGAGCTCCTCGGCGGGCAGCAGGGGTTCTGGGAGGCTAAGAGTATCCTGGCGGCGCGCACAAGGGGGTGGGAGGGAGGGGCGAGGGCTTCTTGGAAGGAGGCTGCTTCTTAGAAGGCGCGGGCCTTACATCTGAGGCCCGCGCCTTCTAAGTAGCAGGGGTGCTTCTGAGAAGCCTTCCCCCCTCCCCCTACCCGCCTCTGCGCGTTGCCGATCCTCGGCCGGCGGCAGGGATTCTGGGAGGCTAAGAGTATCGGCGGTGGACAAGCCTCCCTTCAGCAGACCACCCTTTAGTGAAAACGGCCCAAGACCGAAACCGACGCACGTGGACCCGCAAAAATGGCGGCCGCGGCGCCCTCTCGCGAACCGAAAGCGACCAGTCCGCCAATCGACGTGCCAGGCTAAGAGGCCGAGCAGCCTCCAAGACCCCGTCCCCACCAGCCATCGGTTCTCCTGCACCGGTGAAAGGGAGGGTGGAGGAAGAGGAGGAGGAGGAGGAGGAGGAGGAGGAGGAGGAGGAGGAGGAAGAGGAGTAGGAGGAGAAGGAGGAGGAGGAGGAGGAGGAGGAGGGGGAGGAGGACGAGGAGTAGGAGGAAGAGGATAAGGATGAGGAGGAGGAGGAGGAGGAGGAGGAGGAGGAGGAGGAGGAGGAGGCGATAGGGTTCGGACTTCGCCACGTGTTCGACCGATTCCGAGCCACACCCCGCCGCCCATCGAGATTCCTGAATCGTTGACCGACGAGGGTCGGGTTCGGATCTCGCCGCCGATAGGAGGGCCATCGGGCGCGCGGGAACGAGAGGTCGGCGGCGGCGGCGGCGGCGCGCAACATAAAAGGTATATGCGCGCGCGCTCGGATTTCCCCACGTGTTTGACCAATTCCGACCCCCACCCCGCCGCCCGTCGAGTTTCCTGAATCGTTGACCGGCGAGGGTAGGGTTCGGATCTCGCCGCCGATAGGGGGGCCATCGGGCGCGCGGGAACGGGAGGTCGGCGGCGGCGGCGCGCAACACAAAAGGTATAGATGCGCGCGCTCTTGATATTTGCTTTGTGAAAAAATCAAAGCACTGGCTATTTTCAACACATGTGACCAGATGTGCCTGGAGCCGGCGAGGCCAGGGAGAAGACGAGGGCATGGATACCCCCTGTGGGCCCCCCCCTAGGTCTGGCCGAAGTCAGCGCGCTCCCCCAGAGCGCCAGCCGCCGCATTCCCAGAGCTGCTTGGACACCAGCCGATGTTCCAGCCAGCGCCCACATTCGGCGACGAGCGAGGGGGGAATGAGAAGGAGAAGGCCTTCTCAAAAGGCGGCGGGACTTCTCAGAAGCCCTCTCGCCTTCTGACAAGTTGTCTGTGTCTTCAGGGAAAGCTTAAACAACTTCTCAGAAGGCCGAGGGGGCTTCCGAGCCTTCTGAAAAGGCCTGCCCCTTCTCACTTCCCCCTCCCTGGGCTCGCCGCCGACACATACTGCCAGGCCGGCTCGGGCCCACCTTGAACCAGACCTTTGTTGTGTGTATTGCCCCCCGGCCTGGCCGGCGAGCCGACGTACGCCAAGATCTGGCGCACACTGGGGGTGAGCTTGCCCGGTAGTGGTGTCTACTTACTTGCCCCCTGGTGGGAGAGGAAGGGTGAGGGGCCAGGCCTGACGCCACTGCCCGAAGAAACTCACAAAAGAAAAGGTCCATCGGTCGCGGGCGCGAGGGCGGCGGCGAAAGGAAACTACACGAGACAAGCCGCTGCATCTCGGAACTACCCTCGGCCGACAGGTCTGACGAGCCGCCCCCTGCGCTCCTTCTCGATGTCGGCCCAGCTCTTGCTGGTCCCCGCCTTCACCCAGGCCTCGGCACACTTCCGGTTGCGCCCCCCGAAGCAGGTCGTGATGAGGTCCTGCCGCGCCGCCCGCCATCGCCCCGGGCGTTGGGCGCGTGCGGGGTGGAGGGCACGGCGAGCGAGGAGAGGGCGCCGCGCTATGGGGGGCAAGAGCAGGCCAGGTGGTGGCAGTGGCTACAGCACTGAGGCGGCCCTCGTGCCAAGCATATGATCAAGTGATTGAGCGAATCACATGGCCCTGAAACATGGCAACGCGCGCGTCTCTGATTCCGAATGCAGCCTCTCGAAGCGAGGAGAGGCACCCCACCATGAGCCCGCATCCAGCCTCGGGGAGGCCGGGTGGGGGAGATGGGGGGGGAATCCGGCTGCACCGGACTGGCCGCCAGAGGGCTGGCGCAGAATCGTCGTGACGCGGGTGCGACCGCGGGCGCACAGCCTCGAACCATCCCGCCCCGCTGCAGGCCGATCCGCGCCTCCCTCTGCTCCCGACCCAACTGGCCCGACCCATCCTCCGGTGTGGATGTGGAGCACCGTGCTGACCGGGGGCCCGATCGACCACCCTGGCCGCGACCGATCGACCGATCCGCCAGGTCAGTAGCTCGAGCACCGATGAACGGGTGGTTCGATTCTCCAGTGCATCGGTCGCCGCGGCCGCCTCGGCGGTGCTCTGAGACCCCGTGGGCTCTCGGAGTCCAATTTGCCGCCAGCACGCCGCTCTGCGTAACTACTCTCTCCGGCGTGCCCCCGCAACGACGGCGAGGTGTCCTCGGCCAGGGAAACATCGGGCGCATGTGGACCAATGAGCGCGACATAATCGTACCACGTCGGCAGCCAACTTGCTACGATGGCTTCCCGAACATAAGCACTGATGCTCTCAATCCATGCATGCTCCGGTTGTCCACTTCAGGGAACTATCTGAACATGGTCCGTTCCTGACACTCTCCCAGCCGCTTTCCTCAAGATTGCCGCTGCACTTGCGCAGGGCAAGAGCTGAACGAAGCAACGATCGTAATGTGGATCAACACTTACTTGACGTACACTTGCAATTCAACGCTCTGATCGTGGGAAGACCCACATGCACACGCATACCTTGTTTTCCGCGGTGGGCCCCTGTGCAGCATCAGAACTGGTAGCAGGCCACGCGAGCGCGGACTGCAACAACTGGATGGAACACAAGGGTGACAGATCAACAGGCTGCGCCACGAAACTGCGTTATGACTTGCTCACGCTTTACTGTCGTCTGTGCTGCCAGACCTCTCCCTTGCCCGTCCGCGACGCCGCAGCTCTCGAGGAAGGTGGCGTCCTCTCTTGATTGACGGAGATGATAAGGGGGGACCAAGGGGGGAGGAGAGGGGGGCAGAGAGAGAGAGAGAGAGATAGAAGGAGAGATAGAAGGAGAAAGGCAAAAAGGGCGAGGAAGAGAGCCAGCTGGAAAAAAAGAGAGAGAGAGAGAGTGGTGGACTACGGCTATACCGGAGCCCTGATGCCGGATGCAGAGAATGAGAGAGAGAGAGAGATAGAGAAAGAGAGATAGAGATAACTAAAGAGAAAGAGAGACAACATAAAGAAAGAGAAACAGAGGGGGAAGAGAGGGCGAGGGAGAGGGGGAGGAGACGGAGAGGGAGCACGGAGTGGGACAACGTGGCGCGAGAAGTTGGAACATCCGTGGCCGGCAGGGTGGTAAGGGTCGTCTGGTATGGGGGGGTGTCTCTGGGTGCTGAACAGCGGTCGAGAAGGCCTTCAGGTCGTGTTAGCACCCCCCTTCGGCAAGCAACGGCGATCCGTATAGAATCGACCATCAGAGCAGAAGAAGGTACGAGGAACATGTAGCAAGAAGAACTTACAACAATCCCGGGTCTGAGAATTTGGTGCTTGGTGGGCGGGCCCAGAGCTGACCATCGGGTGTCTGGGGCTCAGCGAAGGGGTGGGGGGACACTCCTAGTACGGCCACGAGGCACAGTGGTGGAATTCTACTCCCCTGCATCTGCTGCTGAGCTGACACAACGGGGGCGACAAATTTTTGTCGGCAGAACTGGCGGACGCAAGCGCGACTGCACAACCGCAAATGAGTGTGGGGGGGGGGGGGGGCGCAACGCACAAACGCGCATAATGCGAACAAACGATTGGAGGTCCGACCCTCAACTTGCCATCGCTCAAATGTCAACTCCCCGTGCATTGTTTGACTTCGTGCGTTTCATTTTCGCCGGACGATCCCAGATGTTCCTCGATGGTCCTCGCCTTGCCGAAACAATGCGCACGTCCGAACGGTGCCAAGCGAATAGCCTGGCCCGTCTTGGAGCAGCAGCGAGTGGACGGCGCACGCTCTTGCAATTACCAACGGTTTGCTTCTTCTGGCAGGAAGGGGGGGGGCCCCTGAGAGCTGGTGGGGTGGCCACACCTGCGACCAGCAGAGGAGAGGAAGGAGGAGGGAGGAGGGAAGGAGGAGGAGGGATGAAGAAAGAGGGAGGAGGAGGGAGGAGGGAGGGAGGGAAGGATGGAGGAGGGAGGAAGGAGGGAGGAGGGAGGGGGGAGGAGGAGGAGGGAGGAGGAGGAGGAGGAGGGAGCCCCCAGGATTTCCAAGGAGGCCCCACGGCCTCCGGATCACCCCCCTCGAGGCCCAGGGGGCCCCCAGGGGGGCCCCAGAAGGGAGCGATCGACAGAATGGGGGGCCCCCTGGGCCAGGGGCACCGGGAGCAGCCCTCGAGGGGAGCGGGGCACCTGCTGCAGTGAAGGGGCCCTGGGACACACAAATAAATACACACAAATAAAACGATCCCCAATATTTTACCATATTTTCTGGGTTTCAGTCTTCCCCCCCACTGCCCATATTGTCCCATATTTTCTGGGGAATCGACGATTAATTGTGTCTGTGTTTTTTCCCTCCTGAATGCAGGTCTGCGGGAGACTGCACCGCCAGTGGAACCCAGAGGTTCACGAATACCCCCTGGAGGGGCCGTCCGGGGCAGCCCCTCCTCCGACACCTCCAGGAGTGTCGAGCGGGATGCCCAGCCCTCCTCGCCGACGCGAAGAGAGCGTGCCGAGCCACGCTCCGACCTCTGGGAGGCCTTTCGTAGATGCGCGTTGTCTTCGTACCCTGTGCGCGGCTTCTACGAAGATGCCACTTGCACATCCGAGTGCCTGGTTGGCAAACGAAGGAAGAGCAAGAAAATGCGCGACCACCGCAGCTGGCAACACGATGTCGCACCCCGGCGTGGAGCGAAGGCCGCAACTCAAACTGGACACGCCGCGCTTCTCGCAGGAGGGCGACGGAAATCCTTAGAAATGACCAACGAACCACACACACACACCCATAAGCAGAGACGGGTCGGAGGCTAGATAGGTATGGGTGCGGGTTGTCGGACCCCAGGGGGAGGCTCCTGCTCGAGCATGGGTGCCCCCAAGGAGAGGGCCCAAAGCCCGCGAGAGATTCCTGAGAGCCCCCCCCCCAAGAGGCCGAACGAGGCCCCCGAGAGGCATCCGAAAAA